AGGCAGGCAGATTTCTGTGAGTTCAAGGCCAGCCTGGTCTACAAAAGCTAGTTCCAGGACAGGCTCCAAAGCTACAGAGAAACTCTATCTCAGAAATCCAAAAAAGAAAAAAAAATACAGATTAATAGATAGTCATCTATAATAATCAAGCTTGTTAGTTAGGTTTTCTAGATGTACAGAGATATATTTCCGATTGATACGTATTTTTCAAATCTTTCAAAGACTAATAGAATATGGCATTTAAATGTTTTAAGAACTTAGAACTTTTTATGACAATGAGACACATCTGCTCCTGATAGCACCAATTTACTTCAAGAGGATGATAAGCATCAAAGAGGCTCCTTATAGAATTGGTTAGCCATCTGGGCAAGAAACTACTTTTGCCTGGACTGCTTGATGGTGTGCTGTTAAACTGGACATGTAGGACTCACAAAAAAATGACTGCTGAAGTTGCCTAAAGAAGGTGAGAAAGTCCTTCAAGGTTTCTATTTCATGAAAGAGTCTACCAGACATTTTGTAGGATGCAGAAGAATGTGACTGACAAATTGCCAATATAAGTGAAACTGCCTTTGAAATTTCCTGCCTAATAGAAAAATCTGCCATATGCTATGGGCCTATAGGTTGAAGATATTACAGAAGAACTTTGGGAGGCTGTCCAGGCAGCAAGATGTCTCTGTCAATTCTAGAGTTTTGGAAGTTGCTTACAATGCACTTCCTGTTTACTTAGGTAATATTATATCCTCCTGGAGTCTTTTATGGATTTTAAGGTGTAATGTTATTTAATAAGAATTCTAAGCTAATAGGCCAAGCAGTGTTGTAATTAATATAGTTTCTGTGTGAGTATTTCAGGTCTGGGTGGCCAGAAACAAAGGAGCAGAGTCTCCACCTACAATCATTGAGTATTTCTTTCTATATCTTTTTCAACACTTTTTTCTAGTTAAGAATTTTAGAATAAGCATATATAAAACCAATACCATGTAAAGAAAATTTCTTAGTCACTTAATCTTTGCTCACCTTTGTATGTAATGTAATTCTAAAATTCATGCTTCATAATACATTAACAAATACAATAAAATTATAAGTTAATAAATTGCTTCCCGTTTTCCATTTCGAATTCTTTAATATAAAACCTATCAAAATAATATGATTAGCTTTCAAACCTGTGTTCACCCTCCAAAAACTATATAATGTCTATATAATGGTCCTCAAAGATAATTTCACATTTTAACTCACAGAACCGGTGAATATAACTTTATATTACAAAGGATTCTTGCAAATATGGTTAAGTATCTTGAGGTGAAAGATATTTTAATATACAGTCTAAGTAGGCTACAAATGTAATCACAGATGTTATTATAACAAAGTGTTAGAAAGATATTTGTCACACACAGAAAAAAGAAAACAACATGGACATGAAGGTAGACATTGGGTTACTGTGACTACAAGCCAAGATAGGTCAATGTCCGTGGAAAATTGGAATAAAAAACAAGTGCATTTTCCTTGAGAACCTGTGAGGAAGAATTATACTTCTCAGTTCTGTTTTTCCCACAGTAAAATTTGTTTTCAACTACTGACCTCCAGAAATGGAAAAATCAATGTGCACTGCTCAAAACCTCAAGTTGGTAACCACCTGAGAAAACTAATAGACAAATTGGTTACCAAAATACTTTTGGAATCTCAGTGATTAGATTGAAAAGAATATAAAATGAGAATTTTCATTTTGTTTTTTTTTTCTTGTTTGTTTATTTTAGTACACAGATGATAGGAAGCTGGATTTTTGAAGAGTTTTATTTGCTGGCAGGTTTAGAGGCTAAAAGACCAAGAGTCAACAGCACCACTTATTTAATCACAGAGTCATTGTCCTAATTTGTCCTGTTGCTGAGATAAAACACAGAGGAAAAAAAAACTTGAGGGAGGAAAGGGCTTTTTTCCCCCCTTCCAAATTACAATGATAAGAGAAACCAAGACAACAGCAACTCAAAGCAGGAACCTCGTCGTAGGAGCATTTTTGCCTTGATTGATATTCCCTCCTCTCAAGTGACTTAAGCTTATGTCAAGTTGACATAAAACTATTCAGCACACTTAGGCATATTTTTAGGACAAGGGCATAAAGTAGCCACATCCTTGCCAAAATATCCCAAGTTATCTCTAGGCCATTTACTAATATTCCTTCTGCTCTGATACTTGTTCAGCTGTACTCCACAGTTCAAATCAGGCTCAGAACTGTTTCCGAGCTCCTATGAGTATGGCCCATTCAGACCCACTTAAAGTGTTCTATCATTTTTCTACTCCAAAGTCTTTCATATTCCTCTATAAAAGATAGTATGGTCAGGCCTGTTACATCAATACCCAGTCTCTGGTACCAATTTGTCTTAGTCACTGTTCTATTGCTGTGAAGAGACACCATGACTAAGGTAATTCTTATGAATTTTTCTAAAAAAAGCATTTAATTGGGGGCTTACTAACAGTTTCAGAGATTTAGTTTATTACCATGGTTTTTGAAACCTCAAAGCCCACCCCAAGTGATACACTTCTACCATCAAAGGCACACCTACACTAAGGCCATACCTCCTAATCTTTTTAATCTGTTCAAATGGTGCCACTCTTTGGTGACTAAGCATTCAAATATATGAGCCTATGTGGGACAGTCTTATTCAAACCATGACACACATGTGATCAAATACAGACCATATTTGTCTTTCTGGACTTGGATTGCCTCACTCTGGCATTTGCAAATAAAGATTGTTCATTTAGTCGAGAGTTGTTCAGTTTCTACGACATGAAGCTTTCTGTTGTTGATGATATCCAGCTGTTACTCTGTGGTGTCAGATAGGATAGAGTGTTATCACAATGTTCTTGTATCTGTCGAGACTTGCTTAGTTTCAGAACATCTGATCAGTTTTGGAGAAAGTTCCATGAGGTGCTGAGCAAAAGATGTATTCTTTTGCATTTTGGTGAAATGTTCTGTAACTATCTGTTGGGTCTATTTGGTTTATAACGTCTGTTAGTCCCAGCGTTTCTGTTCAGTTTTTGTCGAGATGACCTATCTATGGTGAGAGAGATATTGAAGTCTCCCAAGGTCAGTGTGTGAGGCTCTTTTTCTGACTTAAGTAGAAATTGGTTTTAGGGTGTTGAATAACATGATGAATGAGGAAGAAGTTTGGGGGAAAGGTCTATGTGACCCATTGTGGATGGAAGCAGAGAGAAGGCAGAGGACAAAGCTGTTTGGAGGTGAGACTGGGGGGGGGGTTGGGTTTGGAGGAGAGGAAGGAGTGGTGAAGAACTGCAGTTAGTCTACCTGCATAATTGACCAGAATGACCAGGGTATGGGTCATTGTGGTTTTAAATGCATCGTTGGCACTTTCAGTGCCATAAGTATAGCTGAGTGAAGAAAGTTCTACAGACAACCTAAGTACTATTTCCTGTTGTACAGCCTATCAATCTATTGCAGAACTTTACCTTGGTGTCAATAAAATCCTCAATTTTTAAATTTTCTTTCTTTGTGTGTACTTATGTGTATGTGTAAAAAATATGAGCTTGGTGTGTGTGTGTGTGTGTGTGTGTGTGTGTATGCATGACCTGTGCAGATATATTTACACATATGATCCTGAGATGACTTTGGGTGTCATACTCTACCACTGTTTGTCTTATGTCCCTGAGAAAGTGTGTCTCACTGAACCTGAAGTTCTAGAAACTATCCTGTTTCAGTCTTTCAACAGCCATGCCTAACTAGGATCCAGTTTTTATCTGTGTTCTGGAATTTTTAATTCAAGTTCAATTGTTTCCACAGCAGATATCATTAACTACTGTGCCATCTCTACAGCCTCAAAACTTCTGGTTTAAAAATAACAAAATATTTTAATGAACAAACTATCATGAAATCAATCACTGCTTTGAGCAGTCTCAAAATGAGTTACATGTGTGATAACCAAGAAAACTGTATTTTGGTGGCTGTCCTCTTACCTTTGCCATGCCCCTTTTTGGTAGGTAGGTAGGTTTTCCCCACTGTACCAAAAGCTATCAATCAGGTCACTTACCCATACTCTCAGCATCCCCTCCCATTTAGTGTGCTTTTCTGAAGGACTGTGGAAATAAAGACTTTAAAGGAGAGCAATCCACGATATGTGTATGGTAGAAAACATCATCCAAGCTCCCTAACACTCCTTTATAGAAAAAGTCCAGGTTGTTTTGCTGGGGGGCTTCATCCCAGCTCCTGGAATAAGACCCCTCCCCAGGGAGGGCCAAGACCACTCCCACAGATTGTCTAAACTGCCCCCCCCCCCCAGAGACGGTCATGATTCTACCCATCCCCCCCCCCCCCCCGCGCCCCCAGAATGAGAACGTAGTCTCCGGGTTCAGGGCGCTCTCCCCTTTCCTCTCTTCCCCTCTCCATGCTTTCCTGGGGCCACCTGGGAGCATTGCATTAAACATGGGAGTCTTTTAATTCAGTTTAATTTGGTCTGATTGGAATTATTTGCGTGGGCGGAGAGGATCGCCTAAGAGAAATATATTCCTGACAATATAGAAGGGCAGAAGGAGTCAACTTCTTCCATGATTTTAAATTTTAAATCCACAATGCAAACTCATTGCATTGCCAATTGTACAGTTAGTAACAGTTCTGCTAAGTATTTTTGGAGCGCTTGCTTTGCAGAGGCATAAAGGGTGTCTCATGAGTAAATTTTTTTATTAAGAAAAACTAAGCATGGGGGGGTGGCTTGGGGACCAACATACATAAAGGAACTACAGAAATACTTAACGAATTACTAGAAGAGGCGGGGACCAAAAGGGGAAACGGTACTGTTTGTAAGATCATATCACAAAGTATAAAACCAGAATGCCGAGAAAAAGCCGTCATAAAACAGCAGGCTATATGTAAAGCCTCTGAAGGGACCTGGAAGGGAACCACTTATTCCCAAATCCAGAGCCGCGAACGCCGAGCTTTAAAGGCGGGTGCCGTAAAAGTCGAGGCCTCCAGGCAGCCGGAGCGTCCTGCTTTGCGGCAGCGCCCGGCGGGAAAGCGAGGCGGGCGGGCGGTTGAAGAGTCCTCGCCCCGCCCCCGCCCGCTTTCCAGCGCTCGGAAGGAGGCTGAGCAGGCTGGGACCCAGCGCTGGGCGCCGCTTAACACCCACTCCCCGTCGCCGGCGTCATGGAGGCGGCGGTGGATGCCGAAGTCGAACCTGAGGATGGCGACAGCAGCTGCGCGGACGTGTGCTTCATGGACAAAGGCCTGCAGAGGTACCTGCGGCCACCCGATGGGACCCCGGGTCGGCTGGCTGAGGTGGCGGGGTCCTCCCTGTCCTCCCAGCACAGCCCGGGATCCTCCCTGCCCTCCCAGCACAGCCCGGGGTCCTCCCTGTCCTCCCAGCACAGCCCGGGATCCTCCCTGTCCTCCCAGCACAGCCCGGGATCCTCCCTGCCCTCCCAGCACAGCCCGGGATCCTCCCTGTCCTCC